TTTGCCTTGCTAATCAAACATATACCCATAAATCGTTCATCGTTCATGGTTAAAACTTTTTAAGCCACAGCGTTTCAATCAGGTAGCACATGGACCGCGACCGACAGAGAGGTATACCATGACATTCAGTAAACCTTCAGACGCTCCAAAATTAAACGATATATCGTGTAAGAGTGTCGATCTGCCAGATTTGCCACAGTGTGACCATTCAAGTGGAACCAGTTTGCCAGTACTTCTAGTCATAAAAAATAAAGTACTATTTAGTTTTTTTTCAGTATTTTACGGGGATTTCAAAAAAATTCGCGCGTTTGGAATTTTGTCTACTAGTGACTTTGGACAGTGTTTAGAACTAAAGGAACTGGCTTTCCAAGCATTGTGTCCATCGGCTCGTTGAGGAAGAGCAATCCAAAATAACGATTGTGGGATACCAAAGCGGATTTATCGATATTGAGTAACGGTTAACGGGAGGATTGTAGTATTCACTACTCACGTATCAGTTCAGTTGGCCTCTGACCTGGTCTCTATGGCAAACCTTTTACTGACTTACCTTGCAAAATACTGCAGCTAGAAGAATATACCTTGCAGTGAAATCCCAGTAAACTGAAGGACTCAAGAGCTTGGGTTGCAAAGTAATGAAACGTTGACGTGTATTATTGCGTAATATGGAAAGCAGCTATGTCCAGTATCAATCAACCGCTATCAAAAGACCATCACGTGGTCTGAATTGGGAAAACAAGGAAACAAATTTTGCTCAGTCTTTCAAGAATCTGCATAAAAAGGAACTTCAAAACTATGATCAGCTGTACGATTCCAGTTTTGCGTTTCATGCCTTGTTCAATCTGACCTGTTACAATCCTCCGGGGTACGTACCCCGGGGCAAGTCCAGCTTTTCGGGCCTGGGGTTGGGGAATTGTTTGAAGCGGTACTCTCCCTGGGGTAGGGGGTGGGGCAAATAAAAAATAACTCCTCTTTGATTTTGCGAAGTAAGTGTCATTTCCTGCGCCGTTTCCATGACGCAGGAATTTGTCGCAGAGTGGTTGAGGAATGACCTATCAAAATTAAAATTCCAAACGAATGTGGGTTTGATGCGTACTCGACTGTTTTTTTTTTTTTTTTTGCAAAAGAAACGAAGAAATATTTCTTCAGCCTTTTTTAATAAGAAGACAATATATATATAAATGGGCTGTACGAAGACAGATACTAGACTTCAAATATATACAGGCAAAAAGAGATTCAGTCCAGTGCTCAGTCTTATGAAGTGCTCTACTGTATCAAGGAGGCCCTTGGGTTTTTTTTTCTTCACGCTTTTCGTTTTCAAATTTATTGTTCATGCCTTTAGCCACATTGTAAACTTATTATCCTTCCGCTAAATAAACTTAAAAGTTATGAAAACGTTTCGTTTTGCTATTGTACGGAAATCAATATAATCTCAAAACGATGTACCCAAAATCAGGAGCTCAGGGGTGCGGATTAGACCACCAAGAAAGAAGAAAATTTGCAAATCTCCGGGGGTATAAAGAAGATACGGAAGAGAAAAAGATCGGATGGCAGAAATTAATATAACGTCTGTTACATTTGTAACAAAGTAAGCCGTTCTACATCTCGGCACATCGTGCCTCAATGGGAAATCTTCGCTTTTTGAGGACGTCAACCCCCGGGCGTGACTCTAAGGTTGCTCGCGTTTATTAATTTAAATCAGTTGAAAACTAGTAACTTCACGCAACCTCGATGGGTCTAATCCTGAGCCCGCGATACGGTCCGTGCGATACCAATTAGCGGCTTTCCTGTTCTGACAGTGGTCAATTGACTCCTGGATGTTCAAGATCATTTTGAAGGCTTCCCACTAGTGAGAATTGATCCCAACGATTGACGCGCGAGGAGGGAGGGTGGGAGGGGAGGTTTTACCATTCCCACTTGTTTTCTCGCGCTCATGATTCCCCTTGAAACGCTTAACAAGCACGCTATCCACAGTCTAAAATTTTCTCCTTATATACTTAAGACGATTATATGTATTTATTTTTAACTGCTATCAGTCGCCCACCACTTGAGATTCACTTAGAAAACCATTTAGTTTCTAATATTGACTACAATTCTGATTAACTGCGTGATGATGCATCGCGCAAGGCCTGGACATGAGCTTAGTCAAAAGTGTCCTTTTTCTAACTGCAAAGTTCATGAAAAGTATACACATCAATTTGTATCCTTAGGTTGTGTTCACACCATACCGGATAGTAGCTTTTGGGCCGCCACGAAAATTATACCGACTAGGGCTTCTGTTCACACATAAGAACGGTTGTGGCGGCGCGACTTCTGTAACGGAGCAAAGCTGCGCAGCGCCGATCTCGAAAGTGGAGTCGCACGTATCGGATAGATTTGGTGCCATACTTCGGTGTGAATACCTATTCGGTCCGTAGAATTAAATAAGCAGGAGCGAGGACTGGAACCCATTGAGACGGAAGTAAATACTCAGGAGTGAAGATTGGAATTTAGTGCACCAAACCCTCTGGGCCAAACGCGCCAGCACCATTACATGTCAGTTTGATGAGTGTGAATTACTTGTGTCGCCCCGGGCAGTTAAGGTTCATACTATCCTGGATAGCTTTTCGTGTCTGCACGAAAGGCTATCCAGTATACTGTTAACATACTGCCTGAGTTCGTTTCCCCATTAAATCATATAGAGCTGGATATTTGAAAACGTTGAGTAGCTGCCAAAATATACTTCTTCAGTCAGGCAATGTTTTACGTTTAATGACATCAGCCATAAATGAGAGACGCTAAGAGTGTAATCATTTTTTATTTGTTTGTTTATCTTGGCCTCTTTCTTTCTCCTCGCTTTCTTTATTTTGCAGTCACTTCTTGTAGTCCTTTCTTGGGGAGTGTGATTTTCGGGCTCCTCGGGATGCAAGAAACCAGTCTTTTGGCCTCGTTTTAGTCTATGAATGGCTGCAATTTTCGGCGGTTCGTTTTCAAAACTCCAAACTGGCTATATATTACCTAGAGAGAATGAACTTAATTAGTTTATCTATTTATTGTTTTCCACATATTTCAAACACTGCCAAACACAAACAAAAAGGAAAAGAAAACTTTAACTGTGATAAATCTGAACTCTACGTTTTCATATCTATCAATAGTCACTGACAGCCATTGATCAATCGATCTTTGATAACAAAATCTTTTCTTTTTCAGTCCCTTTTCGTGATGCACAACTTGTAAGGGCGTGGGACCAAGATTCCCCGTGGAACGGGTTCCACTGGTGCTTCCAAATCCGGAGGCGGAGATCCAGGTGAGAGCTTAAACGAAAACCTCTGCAGAACGTTGGAAATAAACAGAAAAATTTCCATTTTAGCCATCACTTGGCCTACACAGACTCGCTGGCCAGCTCCAAAGGGAAGAAAGCTGAAAGTGGATGGGCAAATAAAACTTCCATCCTCGTCAAGAAATCGCGTAGGATCAAATGTTTCAGGATCTCGCCAATGGTTCTGGTTGTAATGAATGGCTCTTAGATCGAAAATGACTGCAGAATTTTGGGGAATCTCGTACTTTCCAATGGTGGTATCGCTCAATACTTTATGAGGAGCTGTTGCATTTATGATAGAGCTGTGACGCAAAATCTCATTGATGGTCGCTTCCAAATAAGGTAAATTGCTCCTATCTTCATAACGAGGCTTGGTTTCTCGGCCGATGACGTTTTCAATCTCCTGATGTACTTTTGCTTGGACTTCTGGAAACACTGCCATATAAAGAAACGACCAAATTAGAAAACTAGCACTTGTATCTGTGCCAGCAGTCGCAAGATCCACGATGGTGTTTATCAAATAATCTTCATCCAAGATTCCTTTATTTTTGCTGTCCTCCAGTTCAGCGTCGTTATGTGCTTTCAACAATGCATCGGTGATGTCCCGTATGGTCCCTTCCTTGTAAGTTTGCTTTCTTTCTCGGAATTTTGATGAAATCAGTTTTTCTCTAAGGTCAATCGAATGTTTTATTCGTTTATGAATATCCAGAGCTAGAAACTTCATGAAAGGGAATAAATCTAGATGGGCAGTACTGCCCGCTAGATAAGCGGCCTCGTCCATCATTTCAAGAATTTCATCCACATACGGGCTTCCTTCGGGAAAGCGAGCCTCGAAAAGACACGACCAAATAATATTCATGACTGCCAAAGTAATGGGCCTCGCTGGATCGGTGGGAACACCACCTGATTTGCTGAGTTGATGACATAATTCATCAACTTCATGATGAACTTTTTGTTCCAAGTTTTCGATGCCATTTCCAAACATTCGCAGAGCTGAATGTACGACCTTGCGCAACAGCCTCCACCGTGCCCCATAGTCCCCGAATAAAATGGCTTCCTTCTCTTTGAACAATGCGTGAATAACGTAAGAAAATGATCGTCCAGCAAAAATATGACCTTTCCGAACCAAAGCCTCCCGTGCCAAATCAATATTGGTGACGACAAAAACCTTGTGGCCCATGATGTTCATCAAGTATATATCACCGTACTTCTTGGCCAGATCTCCCATGGTCATGTGATTGAAAGTGCGTATGTCCAATAAGTTGCCAAGGAGAGGTAATTGTCGTGGCCCTGGGGGAACTAACTTTGACGTCCGTGACCAGCGACGCGCCAGAAAAAAATAGAGAATGAAGGACAAGGGGACAAGAAAAAGAACTGCTTCCCAAAACATCACGGCGACTGATTGTTCCCTGAAATTAAACGGATGGTGTTAAATCTTTGCCGTAAATCAGTTAGGAACTACACAGGAAGCAAAAACAAAAAACATTCATTTTCTTTACAATCATTCCCTAAGATTACGAAATTAGTATTATAAGTAGCAGCCCCAGGGAATCGAACCCTTAAGACAGTGCATTTACAGCAGTTACAAGGGATGCAAAGTTCTAAACAAGGTATGTAAAAGGGGTATCATTTATCAATAGAAGGTGTACGAAAGGGGTACCATTTTCGTGAAAAATGGTATATAAAAGGACAAAAAGTTGGACCTCTGGGCCGAACTTCCCCGTATTAACATTTGCTGAGTACTCCCCGGGGTGGTAGTGGTAAAGGAGGAAAAAAACACTAAAAATTTGATGGTGGTGGTGGTAATGGAGGGAAAACAATAAAAATGTGGCGGTGGTGGTGGTGGAGAAGGGAACACAATAGAAATGTTGTGGTGGTGACGGGATGAAAATCAATAGAAATGGGGTAGTAATGGTGATGGAGGGAAACAATGGAAAAGTGGTGGTGGTGATGATGAAGGGAAAACAATACAAACTGTAGAGGTGGTGATAAGGGATTAAAATCAATAGAAATGTGGTGGTGGTGGTGGTAATGGAGGGAAACAATAGAAATGCGGTGGTGGTTGTGCTGGAGGGAAAACAATAGAAATGAGGTGGTGATGGAAAAGAGCAGACATGTTTTGGTGGTAGTAATAGAGGGAAGCAATGAAAAAGAATTAAGGAGACTCAGTGCAAAAAAAATAATTTTGTTTGGTGCTACTAAGAGCTAGTTTGGCTTCGAACTCTGGCAGAGATCAGTGAACGGGAACTGGAACTGGAACAATTTGGCGGACAATAAAAGAGGCAGTAAATAGAGATTGTACTGAACTATAGGTAATCATTGATCACGGGTCCGTGTTCGTGACTGATACGGAAAAATTACGGAAACGAAATCGAGTCGAAAGGAGTCCAGTTTTCCGGCCGAGGTGCCCCCCTGATAAAATTAATAGGGGCGGCTAATTTGCAGTCGCCCGTGATAGATCGAAAGTTTCTGCCTCAGTGCCACAGGGACAGCAGATTAGGATGCGTTCTGACGAACGCGATTACGTCACGAAGTAATAATTTTAACTCACAGGCGAGTTAGCGCTTACTCCTTAGACAACATGAATCAACCAATGACATTCATCGACGTAGAAATAACTAGAAAACCTATCCAACGGTTTAAACTATCGAAAAATGGCCTTAAGTTTATTTGTTATCAAATAGGATTCAGTTATCCCTCAAAAAAGGGTTTAACAGTTAAGTTTATTGACAGACACACCTTTGAATTTGGACCGATTACATGCAGCAAAGCTGTTGTCTTCATTCGATGTCAATCAGTTTCCTCAATATTCAAAATATGATCGAGGTCGAGAAAATCACGCAGTGAAGTCCCTCCTTTAAAGTATTTTGAGCTTAGTGGCGTCGCAAATGCATGATACAAACTTTTCTGTAACTGGATACATTTTGTCATCTGACATCTTGGTATTTCGCGTGATATGCAACGTCCCCACTTGCCGGCGCCGCGAGCAGACGGAAGTTATAAGGAAACAATTTAACGCCTTGCTACATTGATGAGAAAGAAATTCTCCTTAAACAAATATTCAACATTATACTACTACATGAGAAATTTCTACAATTTGATTGGCTTAGAGCAGTGGTATTTCAGCTTAATTTGAAATACCGCATGTAGAAATTACAAACCTTTTGTGGGTAGTAGTATAAACAAATGATAGCATGATTTGTACGTGATATTTGGTATAAGTACCACTCGTGATATTTCAAAATTGTCTCAAATCTCACTCGCCTAACGGCTCGTGAAATTACGTATAACAATTTTGAAATATCATTCGTGGTATTCATGCAAAATATCACTACAAATAATGCTATTATCTATACAAACATGAAAGTAAGATTAAATTCCTGCTTTGAAATTTTCTGTACACTCCTGCAGTACTTTGACTTTTCTCTTCCTTACCCCACCAAGTCATGCATCATCAACCCTGCTGTACAGAAAATTCTTTACTGCGAACCGTTTATAACTGAATATCTTTTCGATGAAACTCTAACGGAAACAGCGACTGACCTTTGAAAAGTGCTGTCTAACATTCAGTCCACTTGGCTGAGTCGCGTACAAAGTAAAATCCCGGATTCCATTCTCGTGTTTCAGGAACAATACTTAAAAGGTAAATTTAGTGTGAGACCCTCGTGACATATGATCGTGAGATTTCTTTGGATGAACTTGTTTAAGCTATAGTTAAGAAATAAAGCAACGCTTTTTCATTAAAAACGTCTTCTTAGTCTTTATATCGATAAAACAAATGTCTGTGACGTTTTTTTTCCTAAGAGCCCGCTTAAGGTAATTCCCTTGAAATTGTTCTACTATCAAACTTTTTTTGAAACTTGGCATAATCAATATTCATGATATGAACATTAAAAAAAAGTAATAAAAAGATGGGGTCACCGCGCTTGTTTACGCGTCAGCAGGCTCTTAAATTGGGGTATTTTTACTGGTAGCGCGTTAAAAATTCGAATCCCCTTCTTACAGAATTAAGTCTTTGTTACTTGAAACACACAAAATTTTATCTTGAACATAAAGCTTCTTTTATTCAAATAAGCAGTATTGCTTCATTTAAATCGTTTTTGATTGCCTGGTTGTGAGGATATTGCACTTTTTCGGACAGTTCCGTGGTTAGCTTGAAGTCCTCGCCTTGACCCAACTACACCAAATACGAAACTATTTTCCAC